AATTTCTACTCATCAATGGGGTTCTGTCCTGGTTTGGGCTGGAATAGAGTTAATGTTCCTTTTTGGTAACTAGCATAGTGCTGTGTTTTAGATTCAGCGTTGGGTTTGGTATGAGAAGAATGCTGATAGCACACTGATGTTTTCAGCTGCTACTGAGATCTCAAGGACTCTCCAACTCCCCATGTCCTGCCCATGCGCAAATGCACAAGAAGCAGGGAGGGAGCACGCCCAGAGCACCGGACCTAAATTGGCCAATGAAATATTCCATATCATGGAACGTCATGCTCACTATATAGAGGAGGGGTGGTTGGGAAGCAGAGCTCTCTCTCACTTTCGGGATTGCAATTGCGGGATCTTGGTATTTCAGGATCGCTGGCCAGGGATGGGCTGGGTATTGGTCTGTGGGTGGTGAGCAATTGCATTGTGCATTGTCCATTTATATTTTTTATTGCTGTCATTGTTTTAATTTTATTACCATTATTAAACTGTTTCTATCTCAACCTGAGAGTCTCCCTTTACCCCTCCAATTCCCTCCTGCATTCCCAGGCTGGGGGGGAGGCTGGGTGAGTGGCTGCAGGGTGGCTGGCTGCAGATCAGGCTCAAACTACAACAGGTTCTTAGGAGACTAAAGCAGAATACTTCTTTCATCAAGAGGAAATTGCCTTTTACAGCATTCCCTTCTTTCACTTATCCTGTAGACATACTCATCTACTGACATATTTGAAGTAATTTTTGTTCATTATAATCATACTATACTTGCCATTCTATCATGTAAGACTGCATTAATATTCATGGACCAAAATAAAACTGGAATGAGCTAGAATATAGTTACCTATTATTTGACTGGAAGACAAGATACAAGAAGGTGTCCTTTCCAGGTGGCAAAATCATTCATCCTTCTACTAATCTCCACAGCCACTAAACCCTCCACACATCCTAGGACAAGCCTGTAATTGAATACTATGATGTGAAAATAACTGAAGATCTGGATTCCACTTGTCATGTGGAAATGCCTTTTCCTGATTTTTTTCCCCCAAGATCTCTGTTTGCACTGTACAAATAAGATGACTACTTCAACCTAAATTTAGAGCTTTAAGCTTGCATTTATTTCGATGTCAGCATCTGCACGTGGAACAGCTGCAGGGCTGGGTGGAACATAAGACGGGACAAGTGTAGCCACAAGTTTTTCATCCTATTGTGCATCACATTGGGACTATTAAAATAAAATCAGTTATTTCCCCTCAACCAAACCCACACATGTTTAAACATCTTCAAAGCCTGCAGTGGAATAAGTTACATACTGAAAAAGTGTCTCAGGTTTGTGAGACACACCTTGTTCAAGAGAGGTTATATAGCCAAAAATCAAGAAAAACAAAGGAATACTGTGCCAGCTTCATGAAGGGAATTAACCTCTGCCTTTTCTTTGCAAGCTCAGCCATGTCCCAGACAGATACATTCCATATTGTACTCACTATCTATCCAAAAAGTCTTTCTCCTGTCTTTGTAAAGGTACAAACATGTTATAAGCTTGAGACATTTATTTGTTCCAAGTTCCAGAACATTGCAGAGCTACAGTTTGCATCTCAGCCCCTCATCATAAACTCCATGCACTTCTAGTAAGTGTTCTAATGCACTGGATTCTTTTTTTTTTTTTTTTTTTTCTATAAAGTTCTATTTATTTGAGCTAAATATGCTTGAAAAGCAAAAGACTTCTGTTAAAGACTAGAAGAATGCCATATGGTTAAAGCAGATCTGAACTCTTAGAGAAGATAACAGAGCATATAAAATCTTCATATCCTCACTTTTCACAGAGTTCATAAACTTTGCAAAAGACCAGAGGTGCGCAGATGCTTTCACAGAAGATTATGGAGCACAAGTGGAGTTATTCTATTTGCTATCCAGGAAAAACAATTGTACAGGCCTCTTGCATTCCTTGTGAGATTTTAATTCTGCCAGTTTAAGTAACTATTCAGATATTCAAACCTTCTTCCCTTCCAATCTGACTGACCACAATGATGTTGGATTTTTGTTTACTGACTGTGTATATACATACAGTAAGACAAGCATCAGAGATTCAACTGGAATTACAAACATTGCACACGGACAATTTCATTTCAATTTGCACATTATATTGAACAACTTGCAAGAATGTTACAATTATATCTAATTATGATAAGATGAAGATGTCTGTAGTGGATTAAGATAGCTACACTGTCCAAGTCATGTTGAGAATATTTGCTGGCAGCTGCTGGAGTACACGTGTATATCACATGCGTGAGTGAAACCATCCCCACAGGAAGATCGAATTTCAGAACCTACGCAGCCTATGGGAGGTTAAGCAGGGAAGCTGAAAGTAAAGCCCAGAGGAAGTGAGATGGGAACTGTGAAATAGAGGGGGGAAAGAGAGAGTTCATCTCAGGAAAAAGCTAAAACACTTCTGTCCTTTCCATTTACATCATGTCTTTTGTCTCCGTGCTCAGGAAGGTGTGTAATTACACTTTGTTTATCCAGCACTGTTTAGCTTGGCACAAGGCAATGTTAAACGTTCCCACAGAACATGATGCTGGATGTTTTCTATGACCTTTCTGGAGCACTGTGGATAAATGTAAATCCAGAACTATTAAAATCCAATGTTTCAGCACTAAGGCAAGTAGAATCAGGCTCAAAACAAGACTTGGATGTTCACAAGTGAGATGCTGTCTCATGGCCTGGTCTTTTGGGAGCAAGCATCATCATGAGGCACCTACATCCTGTATGAGGAAAGGCAGGAGCCCCAGAAGATAAATCCCAACCCCACACCAACTGAGCAAGGACAGAATGGTAGGACAAATGAAGGACAGGACTGGATCTGGACATAACCCACCTCTGGAAAGAAGGTGTCTGAAGGAAGGGGCTGGAAAGGATCAGGGCAGTGACATGAGTTTGCATCCTTAACAGTCAGATCTACAGCCCTCTTACGGGTCAGGGGTAACCCACCCCTGCAGTGGCCGAGATCTACATTGTAATGGCATGATCTTGCAGAAGCAGAAGCCTGTCAGCATAATCCACTGACACTTGGTCTATGCACACATTTTTTTTACATACAGGCTTTACATATTCTCCCACTGGCTAAATGACATAAGTTGTCACTTGTCCCAGACATATCTTATCTTCCTTTTCCACCTGGAAATTTTGTCCAGGAGGATTTGCTTAGGTTTTCTGGATATTTAGTAACCTTGAAGAAGTCACATGATAGATGCACACCCATTGAGAGCATAATGCCGTTATGCAGCACAGGACCTGCATTTCTAATGCTTTTGGAAGCATCAGCTGAGTCTCCAGTGTACACACTGGAGAATATTCTGCGTGTGTGTACTAAGTCCAACATTTCTGTGTTAGAAGTGCTGGAATGACTGTGGATGTGATTCCTGGTAACCCCAGACATTGCAGGATAGTCCACATAGAGGATGACCTCCTTGGTTTGTCAGTAGATACTGTCCAGTGGGAAACTGTGCATACAACTGCAGAATTTAAGCGTAGAGGAGTAAGGCAGGATCAGGAAGGAAGTGAAATGACAAACAACCACGTAGGATCTGGAAGCAAGGTGAAACTTTTCTTGTATTATTAAGAGAAGCAAGGGGAAACCTCTTGGTATCTTCTGTCCAGTTAAAGCTGGCACTCATGACACAGAGAGGGCCTAACCTGGAGATCAGGAGGGCTCACTTTTCAAGGAAACTCAGGACTGAAAAGCCCTTTGCTAGGCATCACGGTCTCTCTACTGCTCTCCAGTGCCATGTACCAGAGGCAAATCTGCTGGATGGCTAATCTATGCCCAACCACACAGCTGACACAGGAGCTCTGAGAGAAGGACTGGGAGTGATGCTTAATGGCGCTGGTCATGTCCTGGAGCACTAAGCTCACGGAGGCCTGCTACAATTAACTCGTTGCAGCTGAATTTTGTGCATAAAAGGTAGATTTTGACCATATACGATAAACTTTCAGGAGCAATTCTGAAAAACCATAATAGATGATCCCTGAGATTAGTGCTTCTGCAAGTATTTTTACACTCATTTTCAATGAGAGCAGCTGAGATTCTAAGCCTTAGAGAAAATGTTCTTCCTTTTAACTTGAATTAGCACAAATTGTAAAAGCACTTGAACTTTCTTCCTGGCTCAGGCTAATAGCCCATCACTCACAATAACTTGTTTCACACTATGGCCAATAGCAGATATATAGGGGAAAAAAAAAAAAAAAAAAAAAAAAGAAACAGGGCACATCTAGAGTGATCTTTCTCTTGGACTGTTCTCCCAGACCCACTCAGTGGTTTACATCTTTTCAAAATGAAGGTTGCACCTGGGTCAACATGTTTAATGGCATACTTAACCAAAATTCAATTCAAACAAGAAATCATTTCATCTTTTAAAGCTTTCCTTCACTTTTCTTCATAATCACAAGGAGAATCTTTCACACGACCCACCTACTGGAGCAGTTTCAGGGCAGGATTCTGCAGCCTGACACTCCCTGGGAATTTCTTCCTACCGTCTTACATTTTTACCTCCCTGTTTCTTGCTGGCACTCAGGACTGGCTTATCACACAAATACCAGACTTACCCATGCAACTTTCCATCCGGACATTTGATCAGCAGTAGCTGCTATGTTTTGGAAAGCAGTGATTAGTGAGAAGAGGTTACCAGCTTCTTCTAAGAGGAAAAGAAAACCTTAAGTGCTGTAATATTTTCTGCACTGGTACCTTACTATGTGCGTTTTTTTTCGTGAGGGTACTATGCAACCCACCATCTAAAGCAACCAGATTTCTTTCTGCACAGGGGTGAGGGCATTTTCTTCTTCATCCTGCTAGTCAAAAGTCTTGATGTATTTTGGTGACAGTCCCTACTGCCCATAACTTCATACATAAACGCTAGATATTAGGCAACACGGTTAGGATTGCTGAGGGAAGATGAGCTCAGAGATGTGACCCAATGCTTCAGAGGCTGCTCCCCACCACCCTTGCAGATGCTTACCGTAACCCATGAGGGACTCGCACATCCATTCCCCACCCTGCTCAGGCCTCCTGCAGCTCTCCCATAACGACGCTTGGTGCACGTAGGGCAAGGTCTGTGACTCCAGCCAGCCCCTGCCTGCCAGCGCAATGATACCAAAGATGACGCCTATGCCCAAGAGCAGGGGTAGGATCCATCTGCACCGTGTGTAGTCGAGGCCGTACTTCACCATCTTTCAGGGCAGGGGGGAGGCTGGTGGGACGAGGATGGCCGTCTCTGCCACGGACTCAGCCGCACAAAGCAATGGGTGCTTCTGCAAAGCTCCTGGAAAGTGAGTGCCGGTACCTACCAGCGCATGTGCAGATGTTTGAGAAAAGCTTTTTAATCAGGAGAGACACGGCAGGGAGGGAAGGAGGGAGCTCCACCTAGATTCAGATGAGTAAGAGCTGCCGCTGAGCAATAACCAGTTGAGCTGGGGGGAAGCTGCAAGGCTGGGTTTATCTGTGGGATCCTCTCTGCCCTGCTGACTAGGTAACAAATCGGCTGCTGTTTACTCCTGGCATTTAACGCTTTCCTTCCTGCCACTCCCCACCAGCAGGAGCATCTCACAGCTGTGTTTACACCTTTCTGTCTCCTAAGGGATTATGGCAGGTGAAAACACCAAACAAGGCAGGGAACTATTTGCGTTAGAGGGTGATTGCATCTGAAACTTGCCACCTTGAGGCTGAAAGTTGCCTTTCTTGGACTCCATTTAAAAATAAAATGATACCTTATTTTTTACAATTAAAAAAAAAAATTCCCCTAGCTGCTATAAAGCTAAGGCAATAAAGAACATGTGACTGCCCTCCCTCCCCCTTTTGGGACATAGCTGCAGGGGGAAAAAACCCAGCCAGTTTGTAAGAAACTATGAACTAAGGGTATTGTTTATTGAAATTTATGTTAAGCTCAATGTAAAGGTTAGGCGGCAAAAGACAGAAAAACTGCTTATGCAAATAGCTGCCAGACACCGCTTGTGTGAGACAAGATAACCTGTGAGACAAGATGACCGCGTGAGACAAGATAACCGCAATTGCTTACACAAACCAGATACTTGTGCAAGCAGAAGGGGTACTGATCAAAGACAACCACGAATGTAAAAATGTATAAAAAGGAACTGTTTGAACTGATCAGTACGGCAGTTGGCGGAGCGCAGACTCCCCTGTCGTCCAGCGCTGTCTTTGCTCATATTCTACTTGCTATAATTAATAAAATTATAATTGGATTATGATCCATTGTGGTCTCAATTTATAACAATTTCATGGTGCCGTGACTCGGATAAGGAACGGTGGGCTTCTGTCCTCCGGGGAGGCGCCCCGCGGCAATCCGCGGCCCCGCGACTGATAGCCCACCCCATCCTTACCGACGAACCTAAATTCTAGAATAATGAGCAAAGGAGAAACCGGTAAAATCCCATAAAAATTCTGTGCACGGGAGTCCGGACGAAGACGCAGGATGCGTAAGTATATTGCGAATTTGTTCGCGGGTTTACCGTTCGGGCGGGATTGGGTTTCCTGCATTATAGCGAATGAGAGGTTCGATATACTGAACCAAGCGAGTGCGGACCCTTAAGTACTGCGTTTCCCATTTCCCGCGAGGGACTGGGCCAGGAACAAGGGGAGCAAGTGAGTGTGTGTTTGTGGATAATCCAGAAGATGGGGGCGAAGGGCAGCAAGCCTTCGACTCCCATGGGAAGGGTACCCACTGTACCTAAGAATACCCCTCTGGCATATATCTTAGACAATTGGAGATATTTCCCTGGGACACTAGGGAAAGATAAGCAGAAAATGATAGAATATTGTACTAAGATATGGGGAGGGAAGAAGATTTCTAAAAATGTCTTTTGGCCAGTCTGCGGGTCAGAAGAAGATTGGATAAGGCAACAATTAAATCTCTGGGTTAATAATAAAAAACCCCTTAACCCGGAAGAAAGTCAGTATGCGGGAGTGTGGCTAAAAAGACTGGGAGCTAGACTTTACCCGCTGAATGAAATAAACTAAACAAAAGAAAAAGAAGGAAGGGTTAGACGAAACCCTTCTAACCCCCCCTCCTTACATTTCCCCTCCTGCTCCCACAGCCCCTCCAGAGGTCCCCAGAGCGCCCACTCCCCCACCGGAGTCGGAACAAGAGTCTCCCCCTCCTCCTAGACGTGTAACTAGAAGCCAAAAAGGGGCAGCTCAGATGTACCCCCTAAGGGAAATACCCATGGGGGGACCTCAACCCGTGATCGGATATATTTCCGTACCCCTAAACTCGGCTGACCTATGAGATTTTAAAAGAACCGAGATGGGAAACTTAATTGAGGACCCACTCGGAGTGGCAGAAAGATTAAATCAATTTTTTGGACCAAACCTTTATACTTGGGATGAGATGCAATCTATCCTTGGTCAATTATTTACTACCGAGGAAAGAGATATGATTAGACGAGCAGGAATGAGACTGTGGGATGCTCAACATGCCCAGGGACCTCAAGCGGATATTAAATGGCCACTCCAAAGACCTAATAGGGATAATCAGGATCCGGTGCATAGAACTCATATGCAGGACCTGAGAACTATAGTAATTCAGGGAATTAGAGAAGCAGTACCCTGTGGCCAGAATATTAATAAAGCATTTAATGAAATGCAAAAGAAAGATGAGAGCCCTACTGAGTGGCTGGAACGACTGAGGAAAGCCCTTCAGCTGTATTCTGGGATAAATCCAGACGACCCTTTAGGGCAAGCACTCCTCAAAACTCAGTTTGTGGCAAAATCATGGGAAGATATCAGAAAGAAGATTGAAAAGTTAGAAGACTGGCAGAATAGAGGGTTGGATGAATTATTGAGAGAAGCTCAGAAAGTCTATGTAAGGCGAGAGAAAGAGAGCAGCAAGTGACAAGTAAAAATGATGGTAGCAGCGGTCAGAGAGGACCGTAAAGGACGAACTGGTGAACACAGATCTGCTGGAACGAAACAAGGGAACGTAGTAGTAAAGAAGGAACAGAGATGTTGTTTTTATTGTGGAAAGAAGGGACATATAAAGAAGAATTGCAGAGAAAGGATCAGGGATGAGGAAATATTGAAAACGGAATAGGAGAGCCAGGGGCTCTATATCTTAGGGGACCGGAGTCATCATGAGCCCTTGATAAAATTAAAAATAGGTCCCCATAAACAAGAGTTCACCTTTTTAGTAGACACTGGGGCTGAAAAATCGACTATTAAACAAATACCTGAGGGATGTAAAATTTCCCCGGAAAAAGTACAAGTAATTGGGGCAAAAGGAGAACCATTTAAAGTAAACAAAATCAAAAATGTGGTATTCGAAACTGAAAATAAATTTGGAATGGGTGAACTCTTGCTCGTCCCTGAAGCAGAATTTAATCTGCTAGGACGAGATTAATTGTTGAATTACAATTAGAAATTAAAGTGAAAAATCAAGAGCTAACAGTGTCTACTTATCCTTTGACCGTGGATGAGCAAAAACAAATTAACCCCGATGTCTGGTACTCTCCGGACACAATTAGTAGACTGGAAATCCCACCGATTAAAATCCAAGTTTCTGAACCCCACATACCTGTGAGGGTAAAGCAATATCCCATTTCCCTAGACGGACGGAGAGGATTAAAACCAGAAATTGATCGATTATTAGCACAAGGAATCTTAGAGCCTTGTATGTCACCCTTTAACACCCCCATTCTGCCTGTAAAGAAACCAAATGGGAAATATCGGCTCATACATGATTTAAGGGAAATCGTTTAAGGGAGCACGGGGCGGCTAGGGTTAATCCCTTGCGGGGAAGTCCCAGCGGCAGGAATTCAAGGGGGGATGGGATTTGTGGATGTGCCGCTCACTAATGTAGAAGTGAGGGCGTATAAGAATGAATTTAGGAGGTTTTTAGAGGACCCTGTGGGGCTGTCAGAGAAGATTGATCAATTTTTGGGACCCAGTATATATATACATGGGAGGAGATGCAGTCGATTACGGGAATTTTTTTTTTCTCTCCTGAGGAAAGACAGATGATCAGAACGGTTGGAATGTGGATATGGGAGAGAGAAAATCAGCAGGGTATACCCGGGGAAAGGAAACTCCCTGTAACCCCTCTGCAGTGGAATCAGAATGAACAAGAGCGGAGGAGAGATATGAGTGACTCTAGGTCATTATAATAAGAGTCTGGAGGAACTCCTGAGAGAAGCACAGAAAGTAGATATTAGGAAGGATGAAGAAGAGGCTAAAACTAAAGCTAAAACTATGATAACTGCACAAGAAGCTGTTAGAAACAAACACAAGGAATCTCAGACGGGAAATCACAAATTTGAAACAGGCAAGGGAATGAAAGGGGAGGCGGAACCAAGAGGCACCACTGGCTAGGGAAATCACAAGGGAATGTTTTCATTGTGGGAAGGGGGGGCATTATAAACAAGAATGCCCCCAGAGAATACGGGACCTGTTGGTGTTTGAAGTAACCCAACAGGATGAGGGTGGTAATCACTAGGGGTGTCAGGGACTCTACCTCCTGGGGGATATACCAACAGAAGAGCCCTTGATAAATTTGAAATTAAGACCCCAGGAGGAAGATTATGTAAAAGATACAACTTGGGCTGTAGGGGCTAAAGGTGAAGGGGTTTTTGGTCCCAGTTATAAAGAATGTGTTAATACAAGGGGAAGATCAATATGCTGTTAATGATTTGTTGTTAATGCCAGGGGTAGGATGTAATTTGCTAGGTAGAGATTTACAAGTGCAATTAGGAATAGGTGTGGTGCTGGGTGAAGGAAAACTAGTGGTTAAATTACTAGAATTATGGGAGGAGAATCGGGGAGGATATTTAGGAACCAGAGCATAACTGTTTGGATTTTATAAATTATCAAACGAAAATAAGAGAAGATCTGTTAAATAAACCTTTGCCCTATAGAGGAAAACTATTTATTGATGGGTCCTCTCGATGCCTAGAAGGAAAAATATTGGGTTATGTAATTATCGAGAGGCAGAAGATGGAAGTGTTTGAAAAGGGGAAATTACCTGCTGGGTGGTCAGCACAAGTCTGTGAACTCTATGCCCTAAAACAGACATTGGTATATTTGAGAGATAAGGAAGGGACAGTGTACACAGACTCAAAGTATGCATTTGGAGTGGTCCACACATTTGGAAAAATATGGGTAGAAAGAGGGCTTATAAATACAAAAGGGAAGGAGCTAGTACACGAGCGGCTGATCAGAGAAGTTTTAGAAGCCCTGAAGCTCCCCACAGAAATTGCAATTGTGCATGTGAAAGGACATCAGAGGGGAGCATCAATGGAAATAAGGGGGAATAATTTAGCAGATTAAGTAGCCAGAGAAGCAGCTACAGAATCATCATTGGTAGTTTTATTGGTAATAATACCAGGGGATTATGAGAATTTAGCCCCAAATTTCACAGAACAAGAAAAGGATATACTTAAAAATAAGGGGGGAAA